TAGTGGGTGACTTTAACAACCCATTGTCAATATTAGACATATCGACCAGACAGAAAATTAACAAGGATACCCTGGACTTGAACTCAGACCTGGAACAGGCAAACCTAATAGACATTTACAGAACTCTCCACCCCAAATCCACAGAATATACATTCTTCTCAGTACCACATCACACCTACTCTAAAACTGACCACATAATTGGAAGTAAATCACTCCTCAGCAAATGCAAAAGAACAGAAATCATAACAAGCAGTCTCTCAGACCACAGTGCAATCAAGTTAGAACTCAGAATTCAGAAACTAACTCACAACCACACAGCTTCATGGAAACAGAACAACTGCTCTTGAATGTTGACTGGATAAACAATGAAATGAGGGCAGAAATAAAGATGCTCTTTGAAACCAACGAGAATGAAGACACAACATACCAGAATCTCTGGGACACATTTAAAGCAGTCTCTAGAGGAAACTATATAGCAATAAGTGGCCACATGAGAAGTAAGGAGAGATCGAAAATTGACACCCTATCATCAAAATTGAAAGAGCTAGAGGAGCAAGATCAAAAAAACTCAAAACCTAGCAGAAGACAAGAAGTAGCTAAGATCAGAGCAGAACTGAAGGAGATAGAGACACAAAAAACCCTTCAAAAAATCAATAAATCCAGGAGCTGGTGTTTCAAAAAGATCAACAAAATAGACAGGACACTAGCCCGATTAATAAAAAAGAGAATAACCAAATAGATGCAATAAAAAACAATAAAGGGGATATCACCACAGATTCCACAGAAATTCAAACCATCATCAGAGATTATTACAAACAACTCTATGCACATAAGCTAGTAAACCTGAAAGAATTGGATAAATTCCTGGACACTTGCCTCCTCCCAAGCCTAAACCAGGAAGAAGCCGAAACCGTGAACAGACCCATAATGAGGTCTGAAGTTGAGGCAGCAATTAAGAGACTACCACCCAAAAAAAAGCCCAGGTCCAGATGGGTTCACAACCAAATTGCACCAGACATACAAAGAGGAGGTAGTACCATTCCTTCTGAAATTACTCCATATAATCCAAAAAGAGGGAATCCTTCCCAAATCATTTTATGAGACCAACATCATCCTGATACCAAAACCCGGCAGAGACTCAACAAGAAAAGAAAACTTCAGGCCAATATCCATGATGAATATAGATGCAAAAATCTTCAATAAAATACTGGCAAGCCAATTACAACAACACATCAAAAAGCTTATCCACCATGATCCAGTAGGATTCATCCCTGGGATGCAAGGCTGGTTCAACATAAGCAAGTCTGTAAATGTAATACACCACATAAACAGAACGGAAGATGAAAACCACATGATTATTTCAATTGATGCAGAGAAGGCCTTTGACAAAATTCAACAACCCTTTATGCTAAAAACCCCTAATAAACTAGGTATTGATGGAACGTATCGCAAAATAATAAAAGCTATTTACGACAAACCAACAGCCAATATCATACTTAATGGGCAAAAACTGGAAGCATTCCCTTTGAAATCTGGCAGTAGACAAGGATGCCCTCTCTCACCACTCCTATTCAGTATAGTACTGGAAGTTCTAGCCAGAGCAATCAGGCAAGAAAAAGAAATAAAGGGTATTCAAATAGGAAAGGAGGAAGTCAAATTGTCTCTATTTGCAGATGACATGATTGTATATCTAGAAGACCCCATCGTCTCTGCCCAGAATCTCCTGAAACTGATAAACAACTTCAGCAAAGTCTCAGGATACAAAATCAATGTGCAAAAATCACAAGCATTCCTATACACCAATAACACACTTAAAGAGAGCGAAATCAAGAACGAACTGACATTCACAATTGCCACAAAGAGAATAAAATACCTAGGAATGCAACTAACAAGGAATGTAAAGGACCTCTTCAAGGAGAACTACAAACCACTGCTCAGCGAAATAAGAGAGGACACAAACGGAGAAATATTCCATGTTCTTGATTATGAAGAATCAATATCATGAAAATGGCCATACTGCCCAAAGTAATTTACACATTCAACGCTATCCCCATCAAGCTACCAATGACCTTCTTCACAGAACTTGAAAAAAACACCTTAAACTTCATATGGAACCAAAAGAGAGCCCACATACTCAAGTCAATTCTAAGTAAAAAGAACAAAGCGGGAGGCATCACACTACCGGACTTCAAACTATACTACAAGGCTATAGTAATCAAAACAGCATGGTACTGGTACCAAAACAGAGATATAGACCAATGGAACAGAACAGAGGCCTCGGAGGCAACATAGTATATCTACAACCATCTGATCTTTGACACATCTGACAAAAACAAGCAATGGGGAAGGATTCACTGTTTAATAAATGGTGTTGGGAAAACTGGCTAGCCATGTGCAGAAAGCAGAAACTGAACCCCTTCCTGACACCTTACACTAAAATTAACTCCAGATGGATTAAAGACTTAAACATAAGACCTAACACCATAAAAACCCTAGAAGAAAATCTAGGCAAAACCATTCAGGACATAGGCGTAGGCAAGGACTTCATGACCAAAACACCAAAAGCATTGGCAACAAAAGCCAAAATAGACAAATGGGACCTAATCAAACTCCACAGCTTCTGCACGGCAAAAGAAACAGTCATTAGAGTGAATCGGCAACCAACAGAATGAGAAAACATTTTTGCAGTTTACCCATCTGACAAAGGGCTGATATCCAGAATTTATGAAGAACTAAAACAGATTTACAAGAAAAAAACAAACAAGCCCATTCAAAAGTGGGCGAAGGATATGAACAGACACTTTACAAAAGAAGACATACATGAGGCCAGCAAACGTATGAAAAAATGCTCATCATTACTGGTCCTTAGAGAAATGCAAATCAAAACTACATTGAGATACCACCTCATGCCAGTCGAATGGCGATCATTAAAAAATCTGGAGACAACAGATGCTGGAGAGGATGTGGAGAAATAGGATCGCTTTTACACTGTTGGTGGGAGTGTAAATTAGTTCAATCATTGTGGAAGACAGTGTGGCGATTCCTCAAGGACCTAGAAATAGAAACTCCATTTGACCCACCAATCCCATTACTGGGTATATATCCAAGGGATTATAAATTGTTCTACTGTAAGGACATGTGCACACGAATGTTCATTGCAGCACAGTTTACAATAGCAAAGACCTGGAACCAACCCAAATGCCCATTGATGATAGACTGGACAGGAAAAATGTGGCACATATCCACCGTGGAATATTATGCAGCCATCAAAAACGATGGGTTTGTGTCCTTTGCAGGGACATGGATGAACCTGGAAACCATCATTCTCAGCAAACTGACACAAGAGCAGAAAATCAAACACCGCATGTTCTCACTCATAGGCGGGTGTTGAACATTGAGAACACATGGACATAGGGAGGGGAGCACTACACACTGGGGTCTGTTGGGGGGAAATAGGGAGGGACAGCGGTGGGTGGGGAGTTGGGGAGAGTTAGCATGGGGAGAAATGCCAGATACAGGTGAAGGGGAGGAAGACAGCAGATCACACTGCCATGTGTGTACCTATGCAACAATCTTGCATGTTCTTCACATATACCCCAAAACCTAAAATGCAATAAAAAAAAGAAAAAGATGGATGCTTTTACTTTCAAAACGTTTTGTAGCATTGTTTCCGTGAGCTCTTCCAGTCTATTTATCTTCATTTAATGGTGCTGATCCTGCCCTTTCATAGCTTCTCAATTGTCTGGAAGATAGAGTCCATATTCCCTATTGTGCCTTATAAGCCCTTTCACTGTCTGTTCCCCAAATTCATTTTTAGCCTCATCCCCACATTGTTCCTATGTGTACATATACCTTGTGTTATAGTTGCAGCTGATTTTTAACTGCTCTCTTTTCTGGCTTTGTGCCTCTGCACTGTGTTTTTCTTCCTGGTCTCTCTTTTCTGTCCTTATTACCACTCTTTGAACACTTCAGAAAAACCTTTTCTGGACTCTGGGTCACTTGTCATTCCTTGTGCTGAAACACACTTTGCTTTACAGAGATCGTTGTTACTGCTGTCATCCTCTGTGGAGTCATCTTTTATCTCCCTCATGAGACAGCTCTGGGAAGAAAGAGATAGTTATTTCTAATCCCTGTGCCTAATAACAGGTCTGTTCTCTTCATATCCATTACTGAAGAAATGTTTGTTGAATAAGTTCTTGTTTTAATTTTTAAATTTAAATTTTTAATTTTTATGGGTACATAGAATATACACACACACACACACACACACACACACACACACACACACACACACACGTATATGAGCTATGTGAGATGTTTTGATACAGGGATGCAATGCAAAATAACCATATCATGGAGAATGGGATATCCATCCCATCAAGCATTTATTCTTTGTGGTATAAACAATCCAATTATAGTGTTTTAGTTATTTTAAAATATACAGTTATTATTGACTATAGTCACATTGTTGTGCTATCAAATAGTAGATCTTATTTATTCTTTCTGGTTTCTTTTTTTTGGTACCTTTTAACCATCCCAACTTCCCTCAGCCTGTCACTACCCGTCCCAGCCTCTAGGAACCATCCCTGTGCTGTGTCCATGAGTTCAATTGTTTTGATTTTGAGAGTCCACAAATAAGTGAGAACATGTGATGTTTGTCTTTTTGTGCCTGGTTTATTTCACTTAACATAATCATCTCCAATTGCATCCATGTTGTTGCAAATGACAGGATCTAATTCCTTTTTATGCCTGGATAGCACTCCATTGTGTATAGTACCACATTTTATTTATCCAGTCATCTGTTGGTGGATGCTTAGGTTGGCTCCAAATGTTAGCTATTGTGAACAGAGCTGCAACAAACATGGGAGTGCAGATATCTCTTCCATATACTGATTTCCTTTCTTTCTGTTTTTTTTTAAATTGTTTTGATTGAAATTGCAGTCAGTTTTTACTGAGACACTAGTGTTTTGAGTCTCTCTTTTCAATTTTCTCTGTCTCAGCTGGAGTGTGTTGGGAGTGTAGCCAGTGGTATCTCTGTCATGAGTTGGAGTCCTGACCAAGAGCTGGTGCTTCTTGCCACAGGTAAGCCTGTTACTGGTGCCTAACTGGCTTTGTTTGTTTGTTTGTTTGTTTGTTTGTTTGTTTTGAGACAGAGTCTCGCTCTGTCACCAGGCTAGAGTGCAGTGGTGCGATCTCAGCTCACTGCAACCTCTGCCTCCTGGGTTCAAGCGATTCTCCTGGCTCAGCCTCCCGAATAGCTGGGACTACAGGCACGTGCCACCACACCCAGCAAATTTTTGTATTTTTAGTAGAGGCGAGGTTTCACCACGTTGGCCAGGATGGTCTCGATCTCTTGACCTCATGAGCCTCTCCCCTTGGCCTCCCAAAGTGCTGGAATTACAGGCCTCAGCCACTGCACCCGGCCCCTAACTGGCTTTTCTAAAACATTCCGAATGTCATACAGGCCTCATTGGTTTGGGGATGCTTGAATTTCAAAAAATTTATTTGAACCAGTATAATAGCAATATTATAATGTAGAGTAAAAATTTTTTTTTTTGTGACTGAAATTTTACCTCTTAGTCTGTCATTATAAAAAGTTATTTCATATGACTTTTTCAGTCTTCAGGAGTGTGAAACAAAGTCACAAAGCTTGGGGAGGCTGCTAAGTCCCCAGTTAGAGTTAAAAATGTCAGCAGTAGGCTGGGCACAGTGGCTCACGCCTGTAATCTTAGCACTTTGGAGGCCGAGGTGGGCGGATCACAAGGTCAAGAGATCGAGACCATCCTAGCCAACATGGTGAAAGCTGTCTCTATCAAAAATACAACAATTAGCTGGGCTTGGTGGCATGTGCCTGTAGTCCCAGCTACTCAGGAGGCTGAGGCAGGAGAATCATTTGAACCCGGGAGGCTGAGGTTGCAGTGAGCCAAGATCATGCCACTGCACTCTAGCCTGGCGACAGAGGGCGACTCCATCTCAAAAAAAAAAAATCTCAGCAATATGTATTTTAACTTATTCTAAGAGTCGCTATATGAACACATTCTCAAAGCCCTTCTTGGGTTCTGTTCCTGTTTTTCCCCTTGAGTTTAGTAAAACAGTTCCATTGATGACATATATTTAGAAGTATCTTGGTGACAAGGAGTGTTGAAGTTAGTAGAGGAAGACTTTGTAGACTTTTATATTCAACTGTACACACATTAATAGCTGAGTATAAGCACCAGGTGGCCTATCTAGGCAAGCTTTTTGGGTTTTGTTGTTATTGTTGTCGTTGTTGTTGTTGTTGTTGTTTCAAGTTAAAGCATTTTGGATGAGTTCTGTCTGCTCTGTTCAGACTAATCCCACCTCCTTAGCTTACAGTGCCATTGGTACTTATGGAATGGCAAATTTGTTACCTGAAAATAAAATCATTTTTGTGTGTGTTTCTCTAAGGTCAACAGACCCTGATTATGATGACAAAAGATTTTGAACCAATCATGGAGCAGCAAATCCACCAGGATGATTTTGGTGAAAGTGAGTATAGCTTTGTTTGCAACATTTTGTGACCTATGTTTCTTCCCATTTGTGACCATTTGCTTGTACACTAATTAATAGCCATGTCATTAGGCCAAAGAACTCTGAAGGTTAAACCCCAAGTTATTAATTGTCTATGATCCCAGTTCCTTCAGCCCATTCCAAATCTTAAAAGGCCTGCTGGTGCCTCTCCAGGTCTGAGGGTTGGCTTTGTCAATCAGTGTTTAAGGTCACTAAGATAGTTATTAACCACACCCTAGGAAAGTCTTAGCCTGGGCTTTCAGTGAAAGGGACTGTACAAGTTTGTATAAAGGTAGTATTTCTGGGATACAGTTTTAGGGTAAAGAAAAGAAGAGAGATGGGATAGAAGGCTGGTTTTTGTTCCTACTGATTAGATCCAATCTGCATTTCCTTGGGAGCAATCAGATTATTTTCTTGCTAAAACCTAGCCAAGGTCATCTGGGCATTAAGGCTGTTCCTCTGAATGTTTATCTGACTTAGATTTTCTGTTATGAATGTTGATTGGCTAACTTTAGAGTTCCTAAAGTATTGAAGGGGAGTGCAGGAGAAGAGAGATGCTTGTTAAGTACACGCTTTGGCCATCTTGAAGTCACCAAGTTGCTGGCCTGATTGAAGAGGGTTGAGGGAAGAAGATATTCCAGCTTCTGCTAAGGTCTAACTTCCTGCCTTCGTGTTCCATCAACTCTGATAAATCATTTAGAAAACTTCTACCCATTTATTTTAAAATAATGTATTTTTTCAGAAATAATTTTTAAAGGTTGAGCACAGTGGCTTATGCCTATAATCCCAGCACTTTTGGAGGATGAGGCAGGAGGATTGCTTGAGCCCAGGAGTTCAATACTAGTCTGGGCAACATAGGGAGACCCACTGTCTACAAAAAAATTTAAAAATTAGCTGGGCATGGTGGCATCAGCATAGTAATGACATGATGTGTAGGTATTAGGGTAGCATAAGGGAAGGAAACCAGTAACTGGAGAGGGATGATTTCCCCGGGGAGGCTGACTTGAGCTGAGTCTCAGCTGAATTGGTGTTGGGTAGTTGAGGGACAAGGGTTGGGGAGTATTCCAAGCAAGTGAATGTGTCTGTTTCAAGGGAGGGTTATTTGATAGAAACATTGTGGGTTACTCAGGGAACTGTGAGTAATTCAGCATTGCCAAAGTGGCAGGATGTGAGTGTAGAATGAAATAAATGGGACAGATTGGATTGAGTTTGTAGCAGGGAATTTGGACATCGAGTTATAGTTGATCAGACATTAAAGGTTTTGATGATAAGAGGTTTAAAGAGATTTATCTAGTAGAAAGATGGCTCTTGATGGCATATTTTTTGTTGTTTTTGTGCATTGAGAGAGACGAGACTAGAGGCAGGGTGATCAGGTAGGAGGTTGCTGCAGGATTCCAGATGAGAGAGAAGGAAGGTTTATGTGGGGCTAGAAGCAGGAATGATTCAGGAAAAAGTTGATTCTCAATGAGGATGGGAGTACTTTTTTTTAGAATTATCTGAAAAACTTTTTTAGAATACATGTATATGGTTCCCCTTCTGCCCTAGGCCAGTTTGAGAAATACTGATTTAGTAGGTGAAATAAATAGGCTTTGCATATGTAAGGCGAATAAGAAAAAGTTGTGCAGGACTCCAGCCAGAACCTCAGGTGAGGGGAATAAAGATGCCAGTAACTGAGAGGGGAGATGGGGAAGTGCTAGTCTGTAAGCGTAGGTGGTAAGGTCTGTTTTGGATTTGTTGAAGGACCATATGGGATTGCCATGTGGAGTAGGCAAATATAAGTCTGAAGCTCGGTAGAGGCCAGAGCTATGGACTGAGAGTAGGGGGTATGTAGGATTCTGACAATTTTGGGAACAGATGGACTTGCTCAGGGAGCAGATGCTGCACAGGAAGAGTCTAGAATCCAGGGTAGAACTCTGGGGCATCCAGCTTTGAGGACAGTCAGAGAGAGAGAGTAACCAGCACACAGTACACTTTGGGATGGGAAAGTGCTCTGGGCCTGGTGTTTCCCACAGACTTTTTCACAAAAATCCTATGCAGTACCTCAAAGGAAACATAGTCCAAGTTAAGGCCTTAGATCTCAGAAATGCGTTTCTCAGTACAAAAACAAAATCATTCTGTGGAGTGATGAATATTTTTCCTCTATCCTGGGGGTCAGTCAACTTGTTCTGAAAAGGGCTAGGTCATAAATATGTTCAGCTTTGTGGGCTATATAATCTGTGTTGCAACTGCTCAATTCTAATATTGAGGTATGAAAGTTATATACAATACATAAGCGTGGCTGTGTTCCGGTAAGCATTTGTAAAAGCAGATGTAGGCTGTAGTTTTGCAAATCCCTGCTATAACCGCATCATTTCTTGTCTTCTGTTGGAGAAGTTCTCTTTCTTCATTCCTTGGTCCTTAATCTTCCTATGGAAACTTGCAGATAGAAGCCTGGAGGTTTGCACCATGATAGGCACTACCATTTGTATGCAGCAGCAAGGTATGCTTTGAGGTACTCTAGTGCTTGGTTATGAGCAGACAGGAAATGGTCATATGGACCTATAATTTATAGGAATTGCAAACAGCCCTGCTGCATCAGAATCAGAATCAATGGTAGGAGGGAAGTATTGGGTCCTGCACTGGGTGATGCGTTCAGGACCATCTTTATTGTACCTCTTACAGATGGATCCTACCTCCAGGAACAGAGGGGTTATGTTGTTTCAGCAACTCTGCCTTTATTGTTTACTTGAGAGAAGGGCTATGATCTAGAAAGAACAGCAGTCAGCCTGAAAGCCAGAAGACCTGTGTTCTAACTTTGGGCTCTGCCATTAGGGAGGGTCTCAATCTCTCAGTCTATGTGAGGAGCTATTTTGTGATCAGCAGTCCCCTCTCTCACCAGTGAGGTGAGGAGCTTGCAATCAGAATTTTATTCCCAGTTCTTGTCTTGGGGTTTTATGTTCCTGACATATTTAGTAGACTCTTCATGTTTCATTCTTCTTAATTATAAGGTAAGGGCAAGATCGCTGACTTGTGTCATCAAAGAAACTTGGAATATAAAAGACGGCAGTAAAATACTTTCTAAAATAAGGAAGGGCATTTCAAATTCTTCAGAATCACTGCTGCATATAACATGAAACTGATTTTTTTGTATGACTGTTTGTTTGTTTTGAGATGGGGGGTTTCGCTGTGTTGCCCATAGAATGCAGTGGTGCACTGATGGCTCACTGTAGCCTTGAACTCCTGAGTTCAAGTGATCCTCCTACTTCAGCTTCCTGAGTAGATGGAACCACAGGTGTGTGCCATCATGTTCAGCTAATTTTGTGTATTTTTTGTAGAGAGGGGGGTCTCCCTATGTTACCAAGGCTGGTCTTGAACTCCTGGACTCAAGTGATCCTCCTGCCTCAGCCTCCCAAAGTGTTGGGACTATAGGCATGAGCCACCACGCCCAGCCTGAAACATAGGTTTCTCAAATATTGACTGCTGGTCAATTTATTGAGAGGTCTTAGAGGACCTGAGTAATTGCCAATGACTAACTTCATGAAGAATAGCAGTGGAGCTGTTTTTGTTTCATTTCATGCAGCTTATTGGTTGTCTTGCATGTTCTCAATCAATTGTTCTCTAGGCAAGTTCATCACTATTGGATGGGGCAGGAAGGAAACACAGTTCCATGGATCAGAAGGCAGACAAGCAGCTTTTCAGATGGAAACGGTAAGTTTGGTTTGATGGATGAAGAGCCTTGATTGGAACAAATGTAAGTTTGCCACTCACTAGGAACTCTTTGGTGTCCACTTAGATGCCATTAATGAACAATTCTCTTCTGTTTTTGTAAAACTGCCTAGAGCCCTCAGGAAATGGGTCCCCCTGGAAAGATCCTTTTTTTTCTTGTTATTGCCAGGTTGCTTTGTGATTTATTATCATGGTAGCAAATAATTATAAGTGATATTCATAACCCAGTTTAACAAATAAAACATCACAGACAAAGGAAATGCCTTGTATATCCTGTCCCAATGTCCATCCCCTTGCTCCCCAGAGAGAGTTGCCATCCTTCATTCACATGGATGTTCTCATGCTTTTCCCATATATGTATATATTAGATATTTTTCTTTTTCTTTTGGATAAAACTCTTTGTTTTCCTTACTTCTGGATTAGAAAATTCTAAAGACTGTATAATGATGTCTTGATGACTCAGGCAGGACTTTTTAGTTTTCTAATGTAGGCAGCCCCTGAATGCAGAGGTGGGTGGACACAAGAATCTTGCAAAGTGTTGGGGTTCCTGGGGAAGTAGTGTCTGTGCCACATTAAATGCCTTTAAACTCTTATGTTTTATTTTAATTTATACAATATGAACATTTTTTAAAAATGTGAATTGAAAAATACCCCCAGGAAGATGTGCCATATTTATCTTCTGGCATACTGTCAAGTCAAGTACCCCCAAGGGCAGTATGTATCTCTGATAGAAAAGTACAGATTACATTATCCTCGTAACATTTATTAGCTGTGAGACCTTCTTCACATCTTAACTCATCTGTGCCCTGTTGTGAAGCTTACACAATATTTCAACAAAACTCTACTCTGTTGGACAAATGGAATGCTTGTTTCCTTGTCATAGTTATCTGATAGGTTCCTTAGCTCATTATATTCAATATTTAGACCTGTAGCTCTTTTCCTCTTTTGCTGTTCTTAGAGGCCACTTTTTTTTTAATGCCCAAAGGAGGATTTTTGTTTGTTTTAGATTTTTTTCTCTTCTTTGATGATTTCTGGGTCTAAGAACCAACGCTTCTAGGATGGTCTCTGATTCTATGAGGCAGGCTTTCAAAGTAGCTTAAATCTCATATAAGAGACCTATATTTAGCGGTCTGAGGCTTGTTTGATTCTGGGACACTTAAGGTCCCTCAGGAATATTGGTGTTTCTTTCCCTCTTTAGTTTGAGTCTGCTTTGCCCTGGGATGACCACAGACCACAAATCACCTGGCGTGGGGATGGACAGTTTTTTGCTGTGAGTGTTGTTTGCCCAGAAACAGGTATGGAAATATATTGCAGTTAAACAACAATAAAAATAAATTATGTTATTAAAATTCAGGAAAATTTTCTTTCTTTTGCTTTGAATAGCGTATTAATTATGCATATGAGGTAAGGATCTGCTGCTTTAAATATGAAATGAGTTTAGAGTTAAGAATTAGAAGAGTCCTTTGAGGCCATTGGTCCATCCTCCTACCTGGTGGACACACATTTTTAATGAGATTAATCTAATTGGCTCTGTAAAACCGTGGCAGTTTTTACTTGTAAGGAAGGTGTTTGAAAAGTTCTGAATTGACAACTTTTATCATAATGTTGTAAGTGTGTGTGTGTTTGACTCCATTCCCGCACAGGGGCTCGGAAGGTCAGAGTGTGGAACCGCGAGTTTGTTTTGCAGTCAACCAGTGAGCCTGTGGCAGGACTGGGACCAGCCCTGGCTTGGAAGTGAGTGGGGGAAGAAATCTTAGAGAAATTCTTGGAACCGGGGTAGAGGTGGTGGTGCCCATTGATACTGATGATATAGATGTTTGTGTAACACAAAAGGAATTTTACATTTCTTTGTTTGTAAGCCTGTATCTATCTTTATTTCTTCTTTTTGTTTTGTTCTCTGAAGTCTGAATTCAACTTGAATAGTAGATTTTAGGCTTCTTCACAGATTTCATCATTCTAAGGCCCCATATATTTTGCATTCCTAATTCTTAAAAGTTCTGATTTTAAGGCAGGGTGTATATGAAGCCACTGTAAAGAGCAGAAAATGGTTTAGAAGGGAAGGCCCAGTTTGCAAGGCTTTATGGGCAAATGGAGCTTTTGTGGAAATTAGGGAAAGAGCTTCCTTCCTTGGCACAAATTCCCACAGTAGAGGATCTGCTGACTAAGGAACATGCAGGCTGGATTTAAACCTCCTCTTTCTTCCATTCTCCTCCTTGGCCCAGTACCCTTGTGCAGGTCACAATTTGCCTGTCATATGTGGCTGCCTGATTTTAGATAGATGTATGACCTCTGTTTCAGTGCTGTCTGTTATATGCAGACTTCTTGTTTCCCACCAGTATCTGAGCGGTATTGTATGATAGAGCAGAAGAGAAACGTATTTGAATTAAAACTCTAGAGACAAATGTGAATGAGATGAGGCAATTGTTTTCAACAGATGGAGAAGTCTTAAAAAATAACTTCCTGAGCATAAATATTTGCTGAAATCATATAATTGAAGGAGAAATAGATTTTGATTTTTAGCACATTATACCTGGAATGGTTTAGATAACTTATTATTTTTAAAGTCATCCAAATGCAGTGCAAATATATAAGGCTTTGTGGGTAAATGGAGCCTTTGTGTAAAATAGGAAAAGGCACTCTTCCCCCTGTGCAAGTACTGTCCCACAAGGGGATGAACCACTTGCTGAAAGACAAGGGACACATGGGATTTAAAACTTCCTTGGATAAAGATACTCATTCATTCATTCATTCATTCATCCATGTTTGCTGGAAAAAAAAAAATCTCTTTTCTGAATTTTATCTATTCTTAAGCTAGTTAGATGAGCCTTGGGTGTTGTAACACTCCGAGTTTGCTTTAAGACCCTCAGGTAGTTTGATTGCATCTACACAAGATAAACCCAACCAGCAGGATATTGTGTTTTTTGAGAAAAATGGACTCCTTCATGGACACTTTACACTTCCCTTCCTGAAAGACGAGGTTAAGGTAAGTGCCTGAGTTTGTTTTGCCCTCAAATGTAGAGGACTTTCCATAGCTATAGAGGGGATTTGTATTTGATATGGATACATAAATAGAAGCTTTAGAGTAAATAGTCATAAAAATGGTAGCTTCTTGGAACTGATTTTTAATAAAAGAGAAATTGTCTTTCCGAGGAGATTTTGCAAGTAAGAAAACATTTCTCCCCAACCTAGATAAAACAGAAATAGGAAATAAAAATGCTAATTTTTATTGTTAATTTTGACAAAAGCATAATTTTTCCAGTAATGAAGATTATTTTCATTTATAACATTTAAATCTTAAGTGGTTTGTATATCATTAAGATCCTTGCTGAAGTGAGAACACATCAAATGTTATCTCTGTAAAATTTTAAACATCTTAAGTTGAGAGATGAGTTTAATGAACTCCCATGTAACTATTCACTTTCAGTAGACACCAACATTTTGCAAAATTATTTTGATCTATCCATTACTCTTTGGTTTATATATACACATACTAGCATATATTTTTATTTCCTGGTGTTTTAATTCTAGAAATCATATTTTCAATATTTATTTCTAACAGTTAAGAACATTTTTCTTTAAATAACCATAATTCCATTATATCTTACTTCAGTGTTGTCTAACAGCCAGTCCATATTCAAATTTCTCTGATTGTCTAAAAATGTCACCTTGCGTTTGGTTAAGTTTCTTTAGTCTCTTTTAAGCTTTAAGCATAATGTATTTCTTTTTTTAAGGCCTCTACATGATGACATAAATTTTACAGATTTGTTTAATGCCTCTGTAGGTTAGTAATTTACAGCTAGCAATGAGCTCAGGCAGTGGGATTATTTGATTTGAGAGAGGGAGTACAGCTATTACAAAAATTTGGAAGTAAATGTGTAACTGAAGGCCAATGACAGATCTTTTTTCCCTGCTAGGTAAATGACTTGCTCTGGAATGCAGATTCCTCTGTGCTTGCAGTTTGGCTGGAAGACCTTCAGCGAGAGGAAGGCTCCATTCCAAAAACCTATGGTAAGACAGCTGTAGTACCCCAGCCTTCTGCCCCATAATGTGTAGTTGAAAGTGGAAGGGTATGGGATTTCCTTCATCCCTTCTACTGAGTCCCTAGTAGAATCAAAGATGCTGAAGTGGGTAGATGGAGATAGGGGTGGTTAGGTTTTGATTGATTGTGGATTTCAGTCATGTATTGGTCAGGGTTCTCTAGAGAAACAGAAGTAATACATATACATAATTCGTCCCTCAGTATTCTCAGGGGTTTAGTTCCAGTATTGCCTGTGGACACCGAAATCCGCACATGGTCAAGTCCTGCAGTCAGCCCTGCAGAACCCTCATGTACGAAAAGTCAGCCTTCTGTATACTTGGGTTTTGCATTCCTCAAGTACCATATTTTTGATTTGTGTTTGGTTGCACTTATAGAATCTACAATATGGAGGGCCGACTGTATTCATTGAAAAGAATACGAATATAAATGAACTTGCTGCAGTTCCAGCCTGCGTTGTTCAAGGGTCAACTGTACTTATGTAGAGAGACAGTGAGAGAGGGAATAGGGTGCGGCAGGAGGGAGAGAGAGCAATAGAGGTGTGGATAGATTTACTTTAAAAGATTGGCTAATGTAGTGGGTGGCAAGATTGAAATCTGTGGGACAAGTTGGCAGGCTGGAAATTCAGGTAAGAATTGATGTTGCAGTCTTGAGTATGAAATCTGTAGAGCAGGCTGGAAACTTAGGCAGGATTTCTGTTACAGCCTTAAGGCAGAATTCCTTCTTTTCTATGAAGCCTGTTTTTTGCTTTTAAGACCTTCAACTGAATGAATGGGACTCTCCCATATTATGGAGAGTAATCTGCTTTCCTTACAGTCAGCTGATTATAAATATTAATCACATCTACAGAATACCTTCACAGCAACATCTAGACTAGTGTTTCAGCAGACAGCTGGGCACCATAGCCTAGCCAAGTTGACATAAAAAAATTAACCATTGCAAGTCATCAAGTGCTTTCCCTAGTGGATGGTATTACCACAGAAAAAAACACTAACCAAAGGAATACTGTGGGTGTGAAAGAAGATTTAGATTAAGTATAAAAGTAAGAATATTTTCATACCTTTTAAAATGTGTAAGTGTGTGGTTTTAAGTATTAATTACATGAAAATGTTAGAAAATAAAGATGAGAAAAAAAGAAATCTCATACTTCTACCACTCAGTAATAATCACTATTCAAATTTTCTTCTCTTCTGGTTTTTCAATGTGTATATCTCAGTATAGCTATGATCTCATTTCTGCTAAAAGTTTTAGTATATCTATATTATTTTAAATTGCTGTATAATATCTTTTATTCCCATTCATTAAATCTCATGCTGTTATACATTTATTTCTCATTATTGTCAACAGCAATGCAGAGTACATTTTTGTTCATAAATATTTTTACTTGAATATTTTCTTTTCTTTTTTTTTTTTTTTGGGTGGGGGGACGGAGTTTCACTCATGTTACCCAGGCTGGAGTGCAATGGCGCGATCTCGGCTCACCGCAACCTCCACCTCCTGGGTTCAGGCAATTCTCCTGCCTCAGCCTCCTGAGTAGCTGGGATTACAGGCACACACCACCATGCCCAGCTAATTTTTTGTATTTTTAGTAGAGATGGGGTTTCACCATGTTGACCAGGATGGTCTCGATCTCTTGACCTCGTGATCCACCCGCCTCGGCCTCCCAAAGTGCTGGGATTATAGGCTTGAGCCACCGCGCCCGGCCAACTTGAATATTTTCTAAGTAGCTTTCAAACTTCTTCATCATTAGAATCCTTTTAACTGAAATGTTAAGAAATGAATTATTCATTCAACACAATAGTTCTCAACCCTGGCCACACCTTTAGAAAAAAAATAAGTATATTCAGGCTTCATCTCAGAGTTCAATTCAGTGTGTTGGAATGGGGACTATACATAAGTATTTAATTAAAAACCAAAAGTGGCTGGGTGTGGTGGCTCATGCCTGTAATCCTAGCGCTTTGGGAGCCTGAGGCAGGTGGATCACTTGAAGTCATGACTTCAAAACCAGCCTGGCCAACGTGGTGAAACCCCGACTCTACTAAAAATACAAAATAATTAGCTGGGCATGGTGGCGGGTGCCTATAATCCCAGCTACTTGGGAGGCTGAGGCAGGAGAATCGCTTGAACCTCAGAGGTGGAAGTTGCAGTGAGCCCAGATCACGCCGCTGCACTCAAGCCTGGGCGACAGAGCGAGACTCCATCTTAAAACAAAACAAAACAAAAATCTCCCAAGTGATTTTAAATAGCCACAGTTGAGAACCACTGATTAACCAATGTGTCAAGGGATGGCCCTGTGATATGCTGAGCATAAAAATATTGTACAAGGCGATACCCCATCTCTATTAAAAATTCAAAAATTAGTCTGGCATGGTGATGCTCGCCTGTAGTCCCAGCTACTCGGGAGGCTGAGGTGGTACAATCGCTCTAACCTGGGAGGCAGAGGCTGCAGTGAGTGGAGACTCTGTCTCAAAAACATATGTATACACACACACACACACACACACACAC